TCAGAGACGACTGAAGCTGCCGCTCCGCAGCGTCAAATACTACGTTTAACCTTCAGTAACTAACACGCACTAACTACTGATTACTACTTTATACACGTGGCAGTGAACGCATCAGCTGCACTCTGTACGTGCGTCATGAAGCGCTTCGAGACGATCAGCGAGCGGGGGCGGCGGCGTTCTTCGAGTGTGTTAAATAATTCCTTTTTGTCCACAGACTCAAACATCGTCAGCAAACATGACGCAGAAACGAGAAAAAGAGTCACAAATTAAAAGAACAGGAAATCATTTTTTTTGTATTAATTAAAACGTCTTTTTGAAAATCAGATAATTGACTCACCGTCTGAAACTTCAGAACGAGAAAAAACAGATTTGAATCAACGACGAAATGATGAAATGATCTCTAACCCTACTTATCCTCTCTGATTCTTTTATTTTGAAAGAACACTTCCTGCTGGATCATTTGTTAGTGACTCTTTACGTCGTCTGACTCTCAACATGTTTCTAAATATTAATAAACAACAACAAACCGCGGAGGTTAGCGCACCGCTGTCTCTTTAAATCCACAGATTTTATATTATTCTAAAGAGGAGAGAAATCCTGGGAGAGTTTATGAATCCTTTTATTAAATCTTTTATTATAACTTTTTATATACTTCATCATATATATCTTTTATTCACGGTGCGGTCTTTAAAGGGTAAACATTTTTATTTTTGTTTTTCATGTTTTTATTTCTGAAACTGAGAAATAAATGTGAAGAAGAGAGAATAAAAATAAAACTCTGAAACTCGTCTCTGTGTGTTTAACTCTTTATTATTAAACTCAGATTTAAATTACTTTGTTTTATTTTAAACTTTCACATGAACACAAACAGGAGGAAAAACTTTTGACTGAAATCTATTTTAGTAAAAAAAATAATTCTCTTGAAGATCTCAAATAAAAATCAAACATCGTCACACTGACCGTTCGATTTCTTCGGCTTTCTGCAGGTCGTTTTTTTTCCGGAGACTTTCCGCTCACTGATCCTGACGCTGAACGAGACTCGGAGGAAGACTTGAAATTTTCATCTCTGCAGACGGAGAGCGATGACTCTACTTCAGATTTCACACGACGACCATCAGCTCAGCCTTTTAATCTGCACTTCTGCTTCATGACCAGCAGAGGGAGACAAACTCAGTTTCATCAGTAAGAGAGCTGCTGAGACACAACAGGAGGTCATTGAACTTTTTACTTTAAAACCTCTCAGAGGTGAAACATCTTATCTATATATATCTCAATATCTTTGAGGAGGAAATATTTGACTATTTTTTCTGAGTATTCTCAGAAAAACATCCCGTTATGAGTTTATCGACGGTCTCTGGAGCACTCGTCAGGTGATCTGACCTCTGTCTTCTTTTAGGTCCTCAGCTCTCTGAAATGTTTGAACCTTCTTCTGTCCGTCTGGTTAAACTCTCTGGTTCTGATATTTAATGTAAGATGGACTGAAGCTCCGCCACCTGTCTGTGATCCAAACGTTACATCATGGCGTTGTTATGTAACCAGGTGAGGAGGACGATGTGGGAGGTTTGTGTTTACTCTCGGGATGAATCATCTCACATTTCATCCTCGTCTCTTCAGCTTCTCTGAGAGTTTGAGTTTTAATGGACGGGGAGAAAAAGTCCCTCAGAGACACGACGGTCAAACTTCCATCTTCAGTCGGCTCCATGACAGATATAAATCACTACCCCCCCTCCCCCCAAGGTAAAGAGTCTGGGTGTCATCCTCGACAGCACGATATCACTCCAAGGATGATGTCACTCGGTTTGCTTAATTCGCCCATCCCTCACACCTAACAGTACCGCCATCTTTGTTTATGCCCTGGTTACATCCCGCCATGACTCCTGCAGCTCTCCTCTCTGCTCTGCACTGATCCATCACTCACCTCTTGCTGAGGTGAGTAATGGATCAGTGTCTTTTCATCCCTGGTGGTTAAATACAGACGCTGTGTGAGCATTAATATCCATAATTCATTCAAATCTTCATATCGTATCCATGATTCTCAAGTGTAAATGATGTTTACTTTAGCTGTAGCTAACAGGTTAACAAATGTCGTCTTTTAATCGACCAGCAACCTCTGTGTTGAAAAATCCTGCAGTTCCTCGAGTGACCACTAGAGGCTGGCTGCCAAAGCCAAGGAAGTCACACACACCCATTCTAAAAAGCCTGTTTTTACATGACTTCTTTTTCTCTTCACTCCTACTTCCTGCCTCATAAATATTTTTTTATCTCACAATCATGAACAGTTTAATCTTTCATTTATCACAGTAGATACTCATAGTCCCCTCCCCCCCCAAAAAAAGTAAACCTCAGCCTGCGATCATACGAGACCCTCCTGTTTTCACTGGTGTTCAAGCTCTCTCTCTCTCTCTCTCTCTCTGTCTTTCTCTCTCTCTTGTTCTCTTTCTCTCTCTCTCTGTCTTTCTCTCTAACTTGTTCTCTTTCTCTCTCTCTCTCTCTCTCTCTATCTCTCTCTCTCTGTCTCTCTCTTTTAAACGTCTCAGAGGAGAACGATGAGCTGATGTGACCTGCAGCTGTTTTCACTGAGCCGTCACTCACAAGGAGAAGATGCCAGTCAGGAGGCTGAACCCTCCTCTGAACAGTCTGCAGCCGGACCCTCATGTTTGAGTCTTCATCAGAGACATGTTAGCCGCTCTGCTGCACGTGTGGACCTCACAGACCCCCAATAGACCCCCCCTCTAGAACCCCTCACAGACCCCCATAAGCCCCCTCATAAATCCAGGGTCTGTGAAGCTTCATGCCTGCATGGATGCCATGAGCAGAAATAAAAAACACAAACCTTCAAACTCACCGAGGAGTTTCAGGTCGGTGATTTTTACACCAGAAAGAAAATCAGAGATTTTTCTGCTCTTGTATTTTACAGATCCACTGAAGAAGAACCAAACAGAACTCCTCAGGTTCTCACTATGTTTATGATGATACTATGATAAGATTTACACCAGAAGGATTTATAACTTTATTTCAAGTCATCACAGAAACATCAAAGTGGAGTCCAGTCTGACGCCCGTCTTTCACACGGACTTCCTCCTCTTCCCGAACACGTTGTTGATCAGTTTGACCATGGACTTGGACTTGGACCCGCTTGGGCGTCTTCGCCGCTCTTTGGCCTTGCTGTCCAGGCAGGCGTTCTGCATCATCTTCGTGAAAATGAGCGCCACCTCCTGGTAGTGTTCGGCAGCTGACAGCTCGTAGAAGTGACAGTGAGACTCTGCAGCGAGACGCTGAGCCTCCTCACGGCCGACCTCCCTCAGGTGACACAGATCCTGTTTATTACCCACCAGGAAGATCAGAGAGTCCACGTCCCTGTCAGTCACAGAGCAGGGCCAAATGTTAGACCTGATACCTTAAATATACTATTTACAGAGACAGGGATAACCCTAAGCCTGGATCCAGTCTGAATCCGGTCTGGATCCAGGCTGAATCCAGTCTGAATCCAGTCTGGATCTGGTCTGAATCCTATCTGAATCCTGTCTGAATCCAGTCTGAATCCAGTCTGGATCTGGTCTGAATCCTGTCTGAATCCAGTCTGAATCCAGTCTGAATCCGGTCTGAATCCTGTCTGAATCCAGTCTAAATCCGGTCTGGATCTGGTCTGAATCAAGTCTGGATCCGGCCTGAATCCGGTCTGACTCCAGTCTGAATCTGGTCTGGATCCAGTCTTAATCCAGTCTGGATCCGGCCTGAATACGGTCTAGATATGATCTGGATCAGGTCTTATTGGGTCTAAATCTGGTCTGACTTCGGTCTGAAGTCAGATTCTGTCTCATGTTATCTGAGAACCCAAACAGAGCAGGTCTAGACTGATCCCTCAGTGCGTACCTCTTAGTGGTCCCCAGGTGAACCTGTCTGATCAGGTGAACGAGGGCTTTAGCCGTGATGAAGGACGAGTGATCGCTGATGTCATAGACCACGACGAAGCCGTCAGCCCAGAGGATCTGATCGTTGAGCGAGGGTCTACCGTCACAGGGCTGAAACATGGAGACGGACTCTGTAATGACGCCATCAGGTCAAATGTTCTGAATGATATCTAATGAGCAGAGTCATAAAACAACAACACAGGTCACAGAGAGAGAGAGAGGTCATCCTGCTGCAGGATTAAAGGAGCCATGACCTCACCTGAGAGCAGGGGTCGTAGAGCTCCAGGTTCACCTGCCTCCCGTCCACACTCACACGCTTCCTGTAGATACACTCTGAGAGACAAAAGTACGACTTTAAATATCGACAATAAAACACAAAATAAACAAAGAGACAATCGAGAGAAAGAGAGAGGTGGAGGACGAGAGGGAGAGGAGGCGAGGAGAGAGAGAGAGATCATGATCATATGATAATCATTAAATCTGCTGTGAATCCTAAAATTCAGGTCCAGAGATACGGTGACTTTTCTCGAACGTGGCGGCTACAGGAGGAGAAGCTAGCGGCACGAAGCAATTAGCAGAAGTCTCAGATTAGCTGGTTAGCATCAGATCGGTGACAGACAACAGAGTTACACTTTTATCCTACAATACTTAATATCGACCACACAGCGGCGTGTGTCCAGTGCGCTATCTGCTCTGATCATGAACAGTAACCTGCAGCAACTGGTCACCGAGGAGTCCTCTCACCATCTTACACACACACACAAGAGAACGGTCACACTTAGACTCTCACAAGCTCAAAACACAGGCACCAGCTTGTGGCGCTTTGGGTACTACGTTTTTGTGTTTCATGAAATGTTTTTGCAGTTGACCTTCAGGGCCACCGTAGGTTACAAAGATAGATTTAAAAAAAAAAACAGGTTTTAATAGTCAAACATCTTGCTCAGAGCTGCATGTCACAGGACTCACAAACACACAGAGATTTATTTTTACAGGACAGATGAAGGTGATTTGATAAATTTAAAGTGAGTGTGATGATTTTGCATCATATTTATATTTGATATGTTCAGCTCTGAAGCTCTGCAGCTCTTTCTCATCCTGTCGATCACATCAGACATGAAACAGAGAGCTGCAGCTTCTGTGTGACGGATGTTTCTAATGATGGTATAAAACGATGTCGTCATGACCTGCAGCCCTGAACGTCACACACTGATGTTGACGCTTCTGAGTGCACATTTTAAATCAAACGTTGAGTTTAACATGTGACAGTGATCTGATGATCTTTTTACTGACTAAATGTAGTCGATTACTCTCAGTAAACCTCATACTGCATATTTCACCGACAGCGTCCAGCAGGTGGCGCTGTTTCACAGGTGTAATTAAGACAGTTTATAGTTTGATTAAAGAGCGACAACAGACTCTCACCTGAAGAAGAAGAATATTCTCCAATAAATCTCCGGGTGAGGAAACGCACGACCAGAGCTGCAGACAGGTAAACACACAGACAAGGTAAACAGACCGGTAACCATGGTGACGCTCACTTTCTCTCCTCCGTCTAGTCCCAGTTTTTTTTCCAGATTTTTTTTACCTGACTTTCCGACCCCCTCGCTACCCAGGACACAGATCTTGATCTCATTCATGTTCTTGGAGGACCACGTCTAGGATCAGGTGAAGGATCAGATGTAGGACCAGGGCTAGGATCAGGTGAAGGATCAGATGTAGGACCACGTCTAGGATCAGGTGAAGGATCAGATGTAGGACCAGGTCTAGGATCAGGTGAAGGATCAGATGTAGGACCAGGTCTAGGATCAGGTGTGGCCCTCACAGATCATGTTCAGTCTGAATCCTCCGCTGCAGCTCCGGCTCCTCTGCTCTCAGCTGTCTGGGCGGAGGTTCTTCAGGGGCGGAGGAGAGACGGTGAGGGAGGCCGGGGGGGTGGGGGGGAGGTGTTTCTATGCTCCATCCATGTAAGGATAAATCTGTAAGCCTTTCCTGTTTCTGACTTTCATTCTGTAATGTAATTTCCCTTATGATGATGAAGCAGGAACAACAAACAATCAGACTGAAGTCTGATTGTTTGAATGTGGCCAGAGTTTCTGAACAAAGAGGAATATTAGAGACACTTTAAAGAGGAAGAGGAAGAATACCAGAAGCTGCTCCAAACCGTCAGCTTGGAGAACAACGTCGACACCTGAACAATCACTCATCATATATTTTATCTTTCTGTATTTTTCCATTCGCTCTTCCATACTCGGAAACTTGGAGCGTCCGAGCAGCACATGAATGCAGCAATAATCTGTCAGCTTTATAAACCGAGCGTCACTGAATCAAAGAGACCACTTTCCCTCACCTCCACCTGACTCTCCCTCACACCTTCACACCTTCACACCTGGGCCTGACAGAGGACACCAGCACACCTGGATCAACGCACACACACACACACACACACACACAGAGAAAGTTCTGGATCACTGTTCTGCAGCCGAGCAGAGACGCTGCAGGCTGATGACATCAGGAGGGGGTGTGTGTGTGCGTGTGTGTGTGTGAGTCCCCCCCAAAGGTAAGTTCAGGTGTGTGTGCTGATGTTTTAGATGTTCATGCAGGTATCAGACCTGCTAAAGATAAAATAAGTCAATGATATGAGCACGCAAACCTTTTTTTAGAGTCTAAAGAAACTCAAACAGTATTAATGGTACAGAAGCCTAAAGTGGACATGATTCAATTCAAATTCTGGATTTTTGGATGTCGGGATAATAACGCTGAGTGTCCCGTGGAACAAATGATGTTCTGGAGCGTCTCTCTGGATGTGGGGAGGTCCTGGGTTACTCTGCACGCAGGTTCAGTCTGCAGAGCTCTGATGTCCCTGTACAAAGAACAGATTCTGGAGTTATTCTGGTCTATGTTACATAAGGAGACTTTAATCATTGTTTACTCTCCCTCATATCTCAAAGTTATTCACAGATACCTGCATGGCGTGCAGGATGTTCCTTTAATAGCAGAGACGAGTTCTGTGGTCCATCAGAGGCGACCCTCATCGAGTGAGCGGCTCACTTTAAACACTGAGGTCAAAGGTCAGCATGAAAGGGAGGGTTTTCCTCGTTCATGTTTATAATGAAGACAAAAAGGACAGATTCAGTCATAATGTTGATTAGAATCAGAAACACTTTATTCTGGTCTTTTCTCTTTAACTCGATACAGCAGCATATAAAAAGTCTAAATATAAATATGGAATAAAGCTGCAGCGTGTCCGTGTACCTCTCCTCCCTCAGTCTGAGTAATGATCACAGACCATGAGGAGGAGGAGGGTTACTGAAATATGGACAGAAGACATAAAGCAACACATCTAGTGTTTAAAGAATAATTTGTTGTGAACGGTGGAGAGATCGATGATCAGGTTCGATGAAAGAGGTTTTGTTAGTGTCAGGAATGAGCATGTCACTTCATCAAAGCAGAAACAGAACGAGGGATTTGATCTGAATGTTCGCTGTGTTTCTGTAAATCCTTGTCCCCCCTCTCCCTCTCTCTCTCTCTCTCCATCCCTCTCTCTCTCACTCCCCCTCTCTCTCTCCTTCCCTCCCTCTCTCTCTCTCACTCTCTCCCCCTCTCTCTCTCTCTCTTTTTGTTCACAGCCTGAAACCCTCTCACATTTTTTGTTTCAGTGTTCACGTCTCGCTCCTCTCTTTGAGCTGTGAGGGAGGTAGACAAACACTCATTCATACTCTGACTGAGGGAGGTAGACGAACACTCATTCATACTCTGACTGAAGGAGGTAGACCAACACTCATTCATACTCTGACTGAGGGAGGTAGACCAACACTCATTCATACTCTGACTGAAGGAGGTAGACAAACACTCATTCATACTCTGACTGAAGGAGGAGGTAGACCAACACTCATTCATACTCTGACTGAAGGAGGAGGTAGACAACACTCATTCATACTCTGACTGAAGAGGAGGTAGACAAACACTCATTCATACTCTGACTGAAGGAGGTAGACAACACTCATTCATACTCTGACTGAAGGAGGTAGACCAACACTCATTCATACTCTGACTGAAGATGGAGGTAGACAAACACTCATTCATACTCTGACTGAAGGAGGAGGCAGACCAACACTCATTCATACTCTGACTGAAGGAGGTAGACCAACACTCATTCATACTCTGACTGAAGGAGGTAGACAACACTCATTCATACTCTGACTGAAAGAGGTAGACAACACTCATTCATACTCTGACTGAAAAGGAGGTAGACAAACACTCATTCATACTCTGACTGAAAGAGGGAGGTAGACAAACACTCATTCATACTCTGACTGAAGGAGGTAGACAACACTCATTCATACTCTGACTGAAGGAGGTAGACAACACTCATTCATACTCTGACTGAAGGAGGAGTAGACGAACACTCATTCATACTCTGACTGAAGGAGGTAGACAACACTCATTCATACTCTGACTGAAGGAGGGAAGTAGACCAACACTCATTCATACTCTGACTGAAGGAGGGAGGTAGACAACACTCATTCATACTCTGACTGAAGGAGGTAGAAACACTCATTCATACTCTGATTGAAGGAGGGAGGTAGACAACACTCATTCATACTCTGACTGAAGGAGGTAGACCAACACTCATTCATACTCTGACTGAAGGAGGAGGTAGACAACACTCATTCATACTCTGACTGAAGGAGGTAGACCAACACTCATTCATACTTTGACTGAAGGAGGTAGACCAACACTCATTCATACTTTGACTGAAGGAGGTAGAAAACACTCATTCATACTCTGACTGAAGGAGGGAGGTAGACCAACACTCATTCATACTCTGACTGAAGGAGGTAGACCAACACTCATTCATACTTTGACTGAAGGATGGAGGTAGACAAACACTCATTCATACTCTGACTGAAGGAGGGAGGCAGACAAACACTCATTCATACTCTGACTGAAGGAGGTAGACCAACACTCATTCATACTCTGACTGAAGGAGGTAGACCAACACTCATTCATACTCTGACTGAGGGAGGGAGGTAGACAAACACTCATTCATACTCTGACTGAGGGAGGGAGGTAGACAAACACTCTGAAGGTTCATTGTGATGTTTGAAACCATTCGCGTCTTCAGGCTCTGCTGTCTTCTTGTAAAAGCCGCTGGACCTCAGATGTGCTTTTTTCTGTGATCTTGCTCCTTACGTGGAGTACTGACTCTGACACTGAGCAGACCTCGCTGAGATACTAACAAACATGTTGATGTCAGGATGTAGCAGATTCACATTCTGAGATAAGAGGTCTAATGTCGGGAATAAACAGCAGAGATAAGATGACCTCCTCCGTCACAGTCACAGTCACAGTCATAATCACGCCGCCTGTGATGAGCTGGGAGAGGTTCCTGTGTCTGCAGGATCACGTTCCTCCATTCCTTTCTCCTTCTTTATATCTTATTCTGGCCCAGCATGTCCCGGCCTGGAGCCTCTCAGCTCACCTTGTTGACTACAGATGCAGACCAGGGAGAGCTGCTGGACAGTTTATGTGACTTCTTCAGAACCATACCTCAGAGACATGTGTCATGGCATGGTTCAGTTACCAACAGTTACATAACAGCAGATTCAGAATGTTTCAGTGGCAGCCATCTTGTTTTTTAAAGCAGCACTGAAACCTGCACTGGCACACGTGTGTCTCCTTAATGCTTTTGTTCAGATCTGATGTTTTTGATTGGCTGTTCATGTTGTTTTTTTAGAATGTGGCCTATATCAGACTCCTGTGGGAACTGGTCTTGGTCCTAAACTGACCCACATGTGCAAAAGAACAACCACGAGAATCAGTCATGTCACTTAACGCTGCGAGTGAACGCAGTCTGATAGCTGAGAGAGGACACAAGGGCGCTGATGGCCTGGTGGCCACACACACACACACACACACACACACGTGTGGACGTTAGTTAATCAGTCGTGATGCATGAGAGAAGGAGTGATGAGTGACGTGTCTGTGTCTCTCCTTCCCCTCGTCTCCCCCCCATGAGGAAATACGGTCTGCTCTTATGGATTGGGAACATAGGGTTCAGGTCTTCTTAATTCACGTTGACCCAGCCACACCTACTGGAACCTGGATCACACACAGCAACCAGCAAGGTACACACATTCTTAGGTAGGTATGACTTTAAATACATGCAGACTGTAAGAACACACAGAGGATCTTTCTGCTGCAGTGAGGTGTTCTTCTGCCCCCTGGTGGTGAATAAGGGAAAATGCAGCTGTGTAGAAGTGACTAAGTCCTCCTCCCGCTCTACTTCCTGTCGTGTTCAAGTGAAATATTAACGTTTCCTTTAGATCAGAGTGGGCAGAAGAGTTTAATAAAAAAAAACTCTGACTCAGTTTGAAGATGACACACACACACGCACACACACACACACACACACACACACACACACACACACACACACACACACACACACACACACACACACACACACACATTCTGATCATTTCATGCACACTTTAAACTCAGCCCACATATCTTCTCTTCTTGTCTGTAATCAGGATGGAGATCTGAAATGTGTCTGCAGGTCACTGAGACTCTCCCCAACATGTTCCTGTGAGATCTGAAGATAAGGTTGTGATGCATTCAAGGTCTGTGGGGATAAAAACATTCTGGTAGAAATTAGCATGCACACAAAGTGTACAACCCTGCAGAAATACAGTCAATGTGGTTCAACAATTCACAACAAGTCATTGCAAAGGAAGATTCAGGCTCTTTTAAAGCTCAGTCTGAAATATATAAATATATATTCTACCTTCTCTCTCAGGCTTTACAGAGACAATCTGCTTTAAAAAAATAAACACTCATCCAGGCAGAAAAAAATCCACATGAATGGAAGACATTTGTACATCCCTTATGTCATCATAGAAGAGACTGATGGGACTCCTAACTCTGTGAACAAACACACACTGTCCTCCTGTGGACAGGTTTGAAACCTGCCGCTCTCTAAAGCTAAAGGTGATGTTCCTGACCTTACCTGAGCACAGAGGGGTCTTTGTCTTTTGGGTGAGCACAGTGTGCCTCTGTATTCCGAGGCACAGTGAACGCATCATGATGTCAGTTACGGTAAACAGGACAGGCGATTTACGTATAAAGCAGGAAGTCTTTCTAAGTTTCCGCCGCAGTGTGAAGTTTTACTCTGATGGAGTCTGATCTCCTGAAACTTTGTCGACAATGATTCTTCTTCTACGGACGCTTTTTGTGGGTCTGTGTGTGTCTGTGTCCGTCACTCTGAGGGTCTCATCACGGGGCCCCCTCAACTGCTCACAACAGGTAAGCTCTGTGAAGTGTCACCTTGGTTCAGGACCGACAGGTGATTCTGCTTTTGTCGGAAAACTGAACAAAGAATCTGAAAGAATCTTCAATCTGAAGCCGTTTGAGGAGCTCAGCTGAATATATATAATGTTTACTTTAGTTATCATATCATATAGCCTATTCTGTTTCAACTGTTCAGGTGTTGTAATCTACCTGAGTAAACAGGTAAACATGTATAATCTAGCTGAGTAAACAGGTAAACATGTATAATCTAGCTGAGTAAACAGGTAAACATTTATAATCTACCTGTTTTTTGATTTCTTTCTTTCTTTTCTGTTTCAGGGTTTGAAGTGTGACATCATGGAGAGTGAGTAGCCTTTGATCCAGATGTTTTCAATTTGTTTTGTGATTGATGACAAAGATTCTCGGACCTCACTGAAGCTTCAGTGTTTATCCAGCTCTGCATCGGTCTGTAAACCTTTCTGCGTTCTAACCTCTCTCCATTTTTCAAAAGCATCTCCAATATTGATCCTAGTTTGAGCACGTTTCTGCTCGTGGAGCTTATTAGAAACATGCAGAGGCTTTTTAGGTCGGGTACAATCACTTTTATCTGAACCACTTCTCTTGCCCGCTTCCATCTCTGCAACACCTGTTGGTTTGACCTGATAACTGCTCTCATATCTGGCAAACCGAGGGGTGTCCAAAACGGTCATGTGGGGGTGCCTTAAAACCGCCTACCTTCTCTGGTTCAAACAAATCCAGAGCATTCAGGAGCAGAATCTAAAGTTAGAAGGAGGACATACTGACTGCTGCATTGTTGTCAGAGAAGCCAGCACTTCCTCATAGCATGTTTCCTTAATGTCTAATCATATAGTAAGGTCACTTAATCATTTAACACATCTCACTGATTGGACCTTTAATTATTAGTCATTAATATATTATAATACTTAGAAAGCTGGCACGAGAGCTATCTCCCCATCACATATGATCAAAAGAAACAAAAATATGTAGTCCTCTTTATGACCTAAAGGAAGTGAGACCATCAGAGAGAAGACTGATAGCTTCTTTAGAGGTATTTACACGCCACCTCTGCCGCCGCCGCATGGTCAGTGTCAGACGAGGAGATGACGGCATGCCCCAGTTTTCATCTCAATGATAGTAGTGAGCTGCGCAGTTAACATAGAGAAGGATGAACATTGTGTGTGTGTGTGTGTGTGTGTGTGTGTGTGTGTGTGTTATAGCTAACTGTATGGACAGGAGCTGGCTGGTTGTGAATGAATACACCCCGAGCGGTCCTGAGGAGCTGCAGGTTTCCGTGGAGACGAGGCGGGATGAGGCGGGTCAGCTGCAGCCGTTCCTGCTCTCTAAGTGGAAGATAAAGGATGACGGTGAGCATGTGTGCTGTCAGTAAGTCATCTCTATGTGATAGAATAATGATGACATAGTGACCTGAGCTGTGTGCACCTGTGCAGGTAGCATTCGGTACCTGAACGCCACAGAGTTACACGTCCTGGTGCTGCCGACCAACGAGAACCGCTGTGTTCGGTTCTCTCTGACAGAAACTCTGCCCATGAGGAGTCCGTCGGGGGAGAAGGTGAGACCATCACCTCCTCAAACACTATACCTGTGTTTCATATTGACACCAATATCAGGCCGATATCCAGAACAACATCTCTCTACAGTGAGATGTTACTTTAATACAACAGTTAAACAAGCAGAAAACAATGAGAACAAAAAAAAAATAACAAGAGATACGTTTCTAACTTCACCAACTCAACTAGTTCCAGAGTTAAAGTGAAACTAGACTGTTGCTAAGCAACCCAAACATCCTGTTCTCTCCTGGTGGTTACCACAGAGCAACTCCATGGTGTCTCTCTGACAGATGTGTCATGTTGTGTCTCAGGTGTGTCCCTCTGACAGATGTGTTATGTTGTGTCTCAGGTGTGTCCCTCTGACAGATGTGTTATGTTGTGTCTCAGTGGGCGTTCTCTGCAGACATGTTGGTGGTGGAGCCCGGTCAGAGTTACAAAGTCTCCGTCTTTAACATCCCTAAACCAGAGTTAGGACACAGTTACTACGACGTCAGCGCCGACATCTCCGTTCCCGGTGAGTTTAATAACAAACAACATTTTGGATTATTTACACCTGAAAGGTCGGTTTGTATTTGTTCCACAGCTGAAGCGATGAGCGGGTTTGGGGAGATCTGATCTTCTTCACATCGTCCAACAAAATGATTCTCTGTGGGATGAGGTCAGGATGAGTGGACGGCTCAAACACAGAACATCTGGGAGTCCTAAAGACTAAGAGCGAGATATTACTTTAAATTGGAAATATCAACTTTACACATCTGTTTCATAAAACAGGTGCATCATGGGAAAATAATGCACTATGACTTGCAATGAACTAACTGGCCATGTGTCGGGACCCAAACTCTGAAGCAGGAGCTGAGAAGGTTCCTCTAAACGGGGTTCTACGAAGTAAAAGGTTTCAGATCGCAGGAACCTTTGCCTAGTTTCTAAGAACCGTTGGAACACTCAAAGCACAGCACAGCACCGAACTATGAACTTCTTTAGTTCCCAGAACTCCCTTAAGAGGATCCTTTTTAGCGCCTGCTTCAGAGTTGGTACCGTGGCGGTGCAAATGCAGACACCTAATAAAGAAGGGGGTTTTGGAGCCATGAAAAAGTTCCTGCGGTCTGAAAATGTTTCTGCTAACTTGTCCACTTCATTGTGAACAAAAACCAGATGATGGATCTTTATTTTATTTTCAACTCGACTGATTTATCTTTGGGCTGGTTGAATCTTCCCGTAGATCATCATGTTTAGAATCATAGAGCCAAAGATGAAACTGTTAATCTGAGTTATTTGTTAAATAAATAAATAAGATGGTTTAGTGCTGGATCATTGACAGAAAATCAACCCAAACAGGTTTTGAGGCTTCTGAGACGCTCACCACAGCAGCTGTTAAACACAGACTGTTAAAGTCCTCTGTTCGTTACATTCTTTAAATCTGTTTTCACCAGGTTGTGAAGATCCCAGGATGAAGATGACCCAGTTCTGCGCAGAGCGAGGTGAGTGATTCATCCTCCATCAGACTGACTGGGTGTTATAAACGGTGTGTAACGTGTGTGTGTGTGTGCTGCAGGGAGTATGTGGGAGGCAAACTTCAGTTTGTCTGCACAAGGATCAGCTCTGACCGTCAGCTTCAGTCCCGACTCGCTCTGTGACGAGTACGTCATGATCGTCCGCTGCTCCACTACAAACTACAAACATGTAGAGCGAGCAAGCAGGGTAAGAACTGGTTTTACATCCCAGCGATCTGACCCAGAACATAACTGTGGCTGATCATTAAAAGTTCCTCTGTGAGTTGTACCTTAGCCTACTTTTTAGCCCACTTTGGTGCTTTAGTTGAGCTCAGGAGAGTCTGTGCTGCCTTCATGTGCAGTTTGTTTAAATGTTGCATCATTATATTTACAACATCGCCACATTTAAGGGCCGACATGTCACATCTTCATGTACACGTTTCAAGAAGCAACCCTGCAGAGTTTTTTTAGGAGATTATTTACATTTATTTGCACAGTTTCCCTGAAAGGTGTATCTTTTTCTCGTTATATATCAAATATTGTCAGTGTTACCTGAAATGACAGCTCCAATTTTCTCACAAAAAGCAGAAATATTCTTTTAAGGTAAAATGATCTGATCAGGAAAAATGATTCTGACTAAGAAGAGGGTGAATAGTCTTTAAACCACCTGGTTATTCGTGGAGCTTTTAAATCTGAAGTTCTGCATTGCTGCTGCCGCAATCTTTTTGTTATTTAGCCTCCAGTGGACACAGGAGGAACTGCAGCTGTAAAGTTAGACATTTTAACATGGGGCTCGATGGGGACTGATCACAAGCTGTATGTTAGAAGGGAATGTTTCCTCCAGGTTTATAATAAACATTTTCTTAATGAGTTTGTGGTCGCAGTCTCTAGTTTCACGTCTTCTTCAATACAGCATTGTTCATTTAGTAAATCATGAATCGTTCAGAGTCAAAGAGACCAGGGAGAGGGGAGGAGTTAGGGCGGGTCTAACTGTGATTGACAAGTCTACAACACTGAATAACGTCTTCTTTAGAGCTTGGTTTTACTGAAAGAAGGTCTGAGGAGACGCTTGTTCATGTTTTCAGTAAGAACATTTTGTCTTAGGAAGGGAACATATTTGGATAAGAGGGAGAAGTTGAACTGCTCATTTAGTAAATAATGGTCCCATTTAGAATCAAAGAGACCAGAAAGAGGGGGAGGAGTTTGGGCCAGAGGCTTTACAATGTCTTGTCACCTTTTTGTCAAAATTTCAGTCACCTTTGGCTAAAAAACAAAAAGATGTCAACATCAAAATGCCAAACTCAAGGTTTCAAAATAGTATTCCACAAACCTTGATTTGACTTCATGTCCACTTTTTCTATGATGACCTGTGCTGGTCTGAAACCTGTACATAAACATTGATGACACTCACTAGTAGCATCATATCAAACATGAAGGCGCTCAGATGTACCAGGTTTAAAGTCAAACACCTAAACATTTGGAGTGACAATCGTTGTGCTTAAATGTTCAGACTAAATTCAATATTTCTGTTCTCCAGACCAAGCAGACGTCCCTGAATGTGACATTCAGCCTTGATAAATGGCCGCTCTCCTGCTGCCAATTTGATGCAGAGGTAAATCTAACACTGCCTGATGTTAGTTTAAACTCTCTGTGATATCAATGATCTCATTAAACCTGAGAGCTAACAGGATTATGTCTTCACTGCAGATCAAACCACTGTTCCCATCCTGTGGTCAGGACTGTACTCGTCTACAGAGGACGCTTAATATTTGTACTGAAAAGAAAAAAGGTATGAAGCATCACTGTTACTTTAATTATCACTCTCCGACTCTCCGGGCTGAGGAGGAGAGAGACTGAATGCTGCAGATACAAGACGTTTACCTTAAATGTGAACAACACAAGTGAGAGAGAAATGAGGACCAACGTGGACTAATTGGTTTTATTCTCACCAACTGTGCAGTAAAACAATGTTATAAGAGTAAAAGTCCACCTTTAAACCAACATGAAGGAAACCTGGTTTTTATTACGAGATAAATCAGAATATTATGTCCCTCTAAAACTCATACTTGTGGGCTACATTTCTGCAGAAAAAGAAGTCGAATGTGGGATACACTAAACCTGCTAATGTAGTGTCATGTCATGAATTAAAGCAAAGGGGAAATAGTTCCTAAGTCAGGTTGCTGTAGTCCGCTCTGTTAGGTTTAAAAACTACATCAAGTAGTCACTCAGAATCCACCACTGGATCTATGGCGGTCATAGTTTACTCTGTAAAAACAGAAGAACTCATCCAAAATCTGTTTTCTGATGTCCACAGTGAACCCAACAGATGTCCCCGCTGTCCCCCCGTACACATTCGTCACATTGGGATTTGTGTTTATGTGTTTGGTGACCATCGCTGTGGTGTTTGTCCTCTGCAGGAAACCAGGTTAGTCACAGATACATTGCACTCCATCAGCTTTAATCAGCCGGGCTGTGACTGGCCAGGAACACCAAAAGGTCTACCAAAGAACATTCGACCAGGAGAGCGCTGTGATTCAAGAAAGATTCAGTATTTCTTCCCCAAAGCTCGATCTGTTTGTTAACCTAACCAAGTCATTGGAGAAGTTTCAGTTTGAAAGCATTAAGAGAATAGTAAGATGACCTTAGACAAAAAGTCAACATGGAGTTTTTCAAAGGGCATCACTGCTGCTTTCTATACAGCCGTGACAAACAAGTATACAGAGCTAAAAAGCTCCTCGCAGAAAGTCCAGAAGGCAGACTTTGTAGGTAAAGAGTTTAAGCCATTCACAGCAATAGATGGCCGAGCCAGGTGGCGCTCCATTGGGGAGAACGCATCAAGTTCTTAAATTAAATAACTATGAATCATCTTGTGCACTTTCAGGAAAAACTGCTCCCGCTCCAGCCCATGTGAGAGGAAAGAACCTACAGCTGCCTAAACAGCCTCCCAAAGTGCTGGTCATCTACTCCCAGGATCACAGCCTCTACAGGGACATCGTGCTGAAGCTCTGCGCCTTCCTCCAGGCTAAGTGCGGCACCAAGGTACTCGTGGATCTGTTGGATACCACCTCAGTCGGCATGGTGGGTCGTCTCCGCTGGCTCGAGTGGCAACGGCAGCAGCTCAAAAATCCCTCTGACAAAATCTTGGTGCTGTGCTCGCGGGGCGTCCAGGCAAAGTGGAGAGCCATGTGCGGTCAGGGTCGGGTGGTACTGAGGGAAGATTATCTGTCCCCTACAGATGACATGCTCACTCCTTTCCTGAACCTCTTCCTACCTGAAATGCACCAGGCAGGAATGCTGGGAAAGTACATGGTGGCTTACTTTGATGACATCAGCAGCCAACACGATGTGCCGTCAGTTTTTGACATCGCAGTCAAATACAAGCTGATGAAGCACTTTGAAGAGCTGTACTTCCGCATCCTGGATGAAGAGAAGTATCAGTCTGGTCATGTCAAACATATCGAGGGCATCGGAGGAGACGAATACTTCAACTGTCCCTCAGGTAGTGCTCTAAAGAACGCCATTGAAACTTTCCAGGCCTTCCAGCTGGGAAACCCGGATTGGTTTGAGAAGGAGTGCATGGACGTTGAAGAGGAGGTCATGACTGAGTCCAAGCAGCTCATTGACCAGCTGCAGATTCCTCCAGTCCTAGAGTGTGTTCCACTGATTCGAGACGGACCTCCTGCCTGCATCTGTGACATAGAAATCAATGAAAGTGGTCCCAGTGTCCATGTCTTCACACCTGAACTGAACGCAGAGTGCCAGCTGTCGTCAGTGATCGAACTTACTCCTCTTGTGAACCCTGAAGCCAACCAGTATCCTTCAAACCTGGTCCAAGTGTTTACAGATCACCAAAGCCCCTCTCCAGTTTCTGTCTACTTGGCTGAGCCTGTTGTCAACATGCCACCACCACCAAGGGACAACTGGCCCTTGCTTCAGGTCGAACCCTCGGGTCAGAGTCCCAGCGAGGACGATGAAGGGGATTCCCTTGAACCTGTGAGCCAAATCTCTTCCCAACCAGACCAGAGAAGCTCTGTCCTTCAGAACTCCTCAGACTCAAACCCTCATGAATTCTCTCACGCCAGCATCCAGAGTGAATATTTACCAGAAGTGGAGAACAGTCCCTCTCAGCCCGTGGAGGTCGAGGAGATTCTAGAGTCTGCTGGAAAGGGTCAGATCAGTGGATCAGATCAAGGCTACATCTCCAAAATGTCCTCTCAACAAGAACCCCCTTTTAAAGATCCACTGGCAGCTCTGAGGAGGCTGCAGGAAGAGCTGTTGCAGGACAGTCTCGCATACTCTGATGAACAACCTGAAGGAAACTGATCTGTCTAAAGGCCGCCAGTAAAATAAGAGTTAAACTTTGACCAACTTTAACAGTCTTAGAACTTACCCCATTTGGATCCCTGAGTACCCTTTAAAGTTGACCCCAGGACTTAAACCTCCCACAGACCTTTCATTTCAGTTTGCAAAGTGGATATTTCTCTCCAGCTGAAGTCATCCTCTCATTGATTGTGGAGTTTGAGGTGTACAAGGTTCTGGAGTCGAGTGGAAAGAGATCAGATCAAAGCTTTATCTCATTAAATCAAACACCCCCTTTCAAAGATCCACGAGGCTCTTAGAGTCCTGTAGGAGGATCTGTTTCAGGACAATCTCAGGTATTTGACGAACAACGTGAAAGGAGGGAGGCCATCCCAGCAAAAAGTCCTGACTGAGTCTCACTGACTTCTATCAACCACTTATCACCTGCAAGGTCACAAAGATCACCTGGAGGTCCAAACCCTGTGGAACTGGACAGCAGAACTCTATCTTTATTGTCTTTTATTGTCTTTTCATACATTTATACCCAGAAACCTACAGACCAAATGTACTTTTCCCAATGTATATATTGCCAATAATATCGTAGAAAGGGTAACTGTTACTACATTTCTTGGAATTATCATAAATGAAAATCTCACCTGGAAAAATATATAACACTTATTTCAGGCAAAATAGCAAAACAAAATATCCAAAAATATTGGAGTCATCAGAAGAATAATGCATCTGCTATGAAGAAAAATCCTTCTTAGTTTATATTACACTATGATCTATCCATACATCTCATTTCTGACTCTACTGTAACATTGTTTGGGCTAGCACCTTTAAAAGCAACCTCAACTGCATTTCTTCTCTGCAAAAACGGTTCATCAAAATGATCACTTTCTCCAACAGATTTAGCAGCTCTACTCCTTTGTTCCAGTCCCTAAGAATTTTCCAGATCTTCTACCTAAACCAGTTTCAGATATGTATTTTTGTTTTCCAATCAGTCAACAACTTACTCCCCGTCTGTTTAAAGATATATTTTAATTCAATTCTCAAATCCATCATTGCAACACAAGTTCAGCCAGCTTACTTCATTCTGCATTTTTCAGGACATCTTTTTCTCAGATTCAGAGGACCTCATTGTTGGAACGATTTACCCAATCACATTAGAAACAGCACCAGCCTCAACTTATTTCAAAAACAAACCATTTATTTCCTGCTTGGCCAATTAACCAATCATAATCAAAACCATCATAATCATCTCTGCAATAAGAGCTTATTTCCCCTCTTCTTTCATTTGTCTCTTTCTTGTTTTGCTTTCTTTTACACCTTATTGAGTATGTGTTCTTGTTAGCTTTATTGTTTTTGCTTGGACTACATTAATAGTATGTCTCTGTGTTACATGTTTCTCTTTAGGAGGGCCACTCGACAAGCCCCTCTGGGTTTATTTGGCTCCTCCAGCACATTTTTTTCAAAATGTAAATTTTGTTAATTAACTAATCATTATGTACTGTCTGTTTTTCCATTGATTTATTATGTTTTTTTTGTTTTTTTGTTTTGCTTTTTAAGTGCAATGAAAATAAATCAATGACTAACGATTAAGCTTTCAAACAAAGAAAACAAGTAATGTAGATCTTCAATGGTTTGTGTGTTTTTGTTTGATTGGACGATGTGATTGGATCTGCAAAGATCTGGACATTTTGAGAAGAAGAAGAAATGATGGAATCATTTACACAGTTTTCTTTGGATGCTGCATAGTGGTCATTGGAGGAAGTGCAGGCTTCATGTTTTTTTTTTTTATAACTGACTGGAAGTTGTAAATCCGAAATATCAACAAGTCAAAGCAGCAACTTCCTGTGGGTTGAAGATTTGTATAACTCTCATGATATCTTTAACCCTTTATTTTTCAAGTTTGGTTGTTGACTCAGTTCCTAAACCTAAAGATTGTTTTCATCATCGACCCAAAGGCTCGACCTTCTAGATCAGGGCTGGGCAACTTTGGTCACAGCAAGGACCAAGTTCATTTAGTTCTAACTGCCAGAGGGCCAAATTATAGGATACAAAAACGATTACAGTCAATTATGTCTCAAATTTAACTCAACATATACCAGTGATCAAATATTATTATGGACATATTTCTGGTTTTCATGATGTCATGGCAGAATTTGTCATGTTTTCTTCATGTTTCCAATTCATTGATATGTAAAAATTGACCTGAGGACCACGTTGAGGGTTGATGGGGGCCGCATGTGGACCCCGGGCCGCCAGTTGCCCACCCCTGATGGATCTTCTCCCTGGTCGATGGATTCAGTTTTAAATACTTCTCTTACATATTTATCCACACAAGTCTGAGCCCGGAAGGCTGGTACAGTGAAACTTAATGACTCATTAAATCAGTTATTGGTTGTTTTTCATTTTTTTGTGATTTTTGTACTTTTTGCACTTGGATTTTTGCAGTTTGAAACATTAAATTTAACTCAGTGTAAAGATGTTATGTAACGTTGAACCTGAAAAGTTTCATGTTGAGTCTTCGGTTGTGACTCCAAAGTGTCTGGAGCATCTGTTTCTCTGATGTTCAGCGATGGTAAAAATGGAGTTAAAGTATTTATGCGATTGTGATCAGGAAGTTTGTGTAAAAATGAAATGTCCTTTCACAATAAAAGCTTTGTGAATAAAGGCCTTTGCACATATTCTGAGCTCAAATAAGCATCTCTTGTTTCAGTTTGATTTGTTCAGATTTATTTGAGTTAACGCACAGAATGCTCCGTGTTACATCTACAGCACATCTATCATGATTATATCAGCACAGATTCAACAGCACAGTAACAGCACATCCTGTCTGAACACAACAGATCGTCGTTGCCATGGAGACGAGGAGAGTCCAACAGAAGAGTGTTCACGTGAAAGGAGGAGGAACATCCTGGTGACACCATGGGCTCCTTTAATGTCCTTTGGTACTCTCCCCGTGTTCATGTTCTGTGCTCGTTCATGCAGGCCAAACATCTTTGATTGAGGAGGAAACAAAGGGTTAACTTGTGCGCCAAGCTTCATGTGCAAATACAAACTAAGATTTTTAGAAAGCCTTTGAACAACGCTCGATACAGACGCAGTGTCTAGCAGATTACTGGCACGAGGAAATAATACAAAAGAGTATAAAATAGAACTTTGAGAACACTTTGGCAGGATAATATAATATTTAAATATTTATCGAAGAAACAGAAGCAGGAAGAAGCAGGATGCACTACATGCTCTGCAGAGAGGTCAAAGGTCAACATCAACACTGCAGAGTTCATCAATGCAGCCAGAAAAAAATAAAACATTTTTAGAGACAAAGGCTCATCGTGGATTTGGGTCGTCATGATACCAGAACTTTAATCATCGATATGATTCCATTCAAAATCAAATGATATCGATACCGGTTGGTTACCACGGCAACAACAATAGAAGTCCTGGACACCAGATAGTGGATCATTTCTTGCTTCTAACGGCGCCCTCTCTCTTTGGTTCAAAATATGAATGAGGATTGGATGATTTTTTTATCATTTTAAAACGTGGTTTGGAACGGGATCGACCTCGTCATCATGGAACCTTCTGAATGAGCTCAAGAACATTTGAAACTATGATGGCTGTGACATCATCACGACATCATCATGACATCCCACGTGACAGCATCCTTTTACACTCACGTAGCTTAATAACTCTAAACGGCCTGCAGGGGGCGACTCCTCTGTTTGCCAATTGACCCAAAATCTCAAATCGTAAAAGTGTTGTTTTTTTTTCATTTCAAGTAAAAACAATCTCATTAGCGTTAATATAAACATCAACCTGACAAACACAAAGCGGTTTATGATGTGAACAGCAGAAATGAGATTCTTCAAACAGGATATTGAAGCTGAATGAGGAAGTTTAACTCGCTGCGTCTGCGGATCATTCATTAACTCAGCAGCTCTTCACACTTGATTGTTTTTGCTTCTTAAATGATGACATGAGACGTTTTTCTGCACGTGTCAGCGGAATTTAAAAGTGATGAGATATTTTTCAAGAGAAATAAAAACACTGGGTTCAGTCATGCAGTGTAACGGGACAATCATTTACTAAAGGAACATCACGCCGCGTTAAAGTCGACTGCGACAACTCAAAGCCTCTGACCTTTGACCTCTGATCTCCACTCACTGATCGCTCACAACCAAACCAAAGTCCGTCCCTGTGTGGGACGCCCCGACTCGGCCCGTTATCGTCGTTAAAATGACTTAAAATAGGCACTAAAATCATCTAGACCCCTCTGATTGGACACATTTCACGTTAAGAGACGTTTGTAACTCAACAACACACAACATGACCACAGCAGGTCCGTGTGACCACGACAGAGGAAGTCACCTGTAACACACCTTTTCAACACCGCCGGTCACACAGAGCTCGTTTGTCACCTTTCAAAGGAAGCAGGTCTCGAGCATGGCGAGCAGATAATAACGTACGGAGACTGAATACTGTCACATCTATCATTTTAATATTTGGCACGAGGCCATTCAGAATATTTACTCTCCTGCTGCAACGAGAAAATCCAACGATTCACCAATGTTCACCAATTCACTGATGTTTCTAACAAGTCTTTTTGTGTCTGCTTTGAAACAAACTGTAGTGAAATATGTTGTAAAGTTACCACTTTGTAATCTTTCCCGGGCTCAGTAAACTACACGTGATGTAGAATAATCGAGGTAACGAGGTCATGAAGGTGACTGTTATAGTCAAGTGACACAAACATCTGTCGTGGCAGGTGTGCTGAAAATGGAACTTTCTAAGAACCGGCACAGCCTTTCATCTTTGAGCAAAGAAAGAAAAACCTCAGCAACTGAACGATTAAAAAACAAAAAAGTTTGTCTTTAGAGAAAACCGTCTGCAGAGACGAGGAGAGTCCAGTGATCTTAGAGGACTGAAGGACAAGAACAGTTCCAGAGCCGGAGATGTCCATTTGAGGAGGACCGAGGAGGAAACCTGTTTGTGGCACTGGTTTGTGGCGCGCGCACACACACACACACACACACACACACACACACACACACACACACACACACACACACACACACACACACACACACACACACACACACACACACACACACACACACACACACACACACACACACACACACACACACACACACACACACACACACACACACACACACACACACACACACACACACACACACACACACACACACACACACACACACACACACACACACACACACACACACAACTTCACGGTCAGAACGAGCACAGACCTGCAGACGACATCCATAAAAAACATTTCTGTACACGGGGGAGGAGTCAAAGTGCACTTTAGGTCCAACACGTCCACCTGCTGTCTGTCTCTGTGGGTGTGTGTTTGATTCCTGTGCAGCTGCCTGAGGCACACACACACACACACACACACATTATAGAAGGTCCATCTCACTATAGGTCCGGTCTGTTTGCAGGTGTTGTGTCTGACTGTAGCACCTGTGGGCGGGGCTGAAGAGGGGGGTGTTGTAAGGCTGGTACACGTGATGCATTCAAGGTCCAGAAAAGATGAAAATCCGTCGGTGTGTTTACAGTTCTCAGAAGAGGTGAGTCAGCGCCAACACCTCCACAGAACAGAGCCGCTCCTGTGTCGGCCCACGAGAATGCTGCTCATCAATCTGCAGCACCTCACGCTAAAACAGCGAGGTGTTCGACTGAGCCGCTCGCAGCTGGAATAACGAGCTGGCAGCTACAGCCTGGGAGGAAAAGGGGGGGGGGGGGTTGCGCTGCACCACTAAATGTTACAGGGCACTGAGGTGGAAGATTTGGTTTTATTTGGAGGTTTGAGGACGTTGAGATCTTTTTCCCTCAAGATTTATTTTCAAACCCGTCACTGAAGCTGAGAGTTGGACTCAAACGGTTGAGAATAAATCAAATCTTCCACCTCTCCCATTTGTTCTCATGTACGGCTCTCACAGACTCTCCTGCAGGAAGTTGGCAGCATGTAAGACTCTGATGAATATCACACATGCCCGATGATATGTGCAGGATAATGTGGTAGAAATACAGAGTAGCTGACAGACTGTTTGGATGAAGGTGATATATTTTTTGCTTCACTTCATTGTTATGACAGTTTATAACATTTTTAAGTGTTCAATCTTGACAATAATCAGCCAATTGATCTTTAAAGATAAAAAGAGTGAGTGGAAGCTCAACTGTAGGGGGGGGGGGGGGGTCATCAGGGGGCCACAGCGCACTGTCGGCCCCTGGTGGCTGCTGCTGTTCTGAGCTGGAGGCTAAAATCTCACCTGACTGAGATGATGTGTTTTGTCAGCTGGACCCTGGAGTGTGAACCTGTTAGGAGGAGATTTCAGTGCTGGAGAAGAGAATTTGACATGAAGGTTTGTTGAGTTTCATCCAAAGTCAGAGGTTCGGATTGGGATCCAGAACTTTCTGCAGGATTTAATAGTTCCCAGTTTAGTCTGAAGGCTGCACACTGGTCCACTCCCTCGTCATAAACCCGGTCCAGGATCTAGGACTGGGTGACGGCCAGCGTGTTGACATACCCGTGCGGACACATGTCGTTCTCGGACACGCAGTGTGAGAACTGCGCCGTGTTGCTGCTACCCGCGTGCTTGCGCCCACCCCGCACTGCCACGCACTGCTCCACGAGCTCGAGCAGCCCGCAGGCGAGGAGGAAGATGTTCTTAAACATGAAAACGGACACCGGAAGCTTGTACACATACACCTGGAAGCAGCGCACCACCAGCAAGGGGGCGTTAACCAGAAGACAGGTGAGGAAGCGCGCGCACAGCCAGCGGCAGCGCAGCTCGGAGGCGGTGAGCTCGTAGAGCCAGACCACCGGCACCGCCAGCGCCACGAAGTACACCGACAGCACCGTGTACTTCAGGTACACCGTGGGGATCTCCCCGCGAAGCATCAGCTCCAGCAGCGTGAAGCAGTCCAGCAGGTCCAGGCACGTGCTTAGGAAGCAGCTGTGGGCGTGGTGGCGCGTGGCTCCATTCAGGTCCTCGATGATGGAGTTGATGAGGCAGAAGAGGAGCGGCGCGGACAGCAGCATGATCACCTTGAAGCCGGTCAGCCCGCACGGCACCTTCAGCGCGATCAGCTCCAGGATTGACGTCTCCAGGACCAGCACCACCTTCGGGGTGCACGCGATTACGTAGATGAGCCAGGCCAGGTAGGCATAGGTGAACTCACCCAGGTTGCAACCGAAGATGGAGCTCTTCTGGTGGAAGCCGCAGGCGCGCTCCCGTTTACTGCGCGCGTTCTTCATGAAGAAGATACCCCAGCCCGAGACCACCACTAGGTCCGTGGCGATCCAGGAGCACCAGTACAGGTCCGTGAAGATGATGAGGTAGAAGTCCAGGACCCCGCCCTGGAAGACGAGCAGCAGGAAGCACAGAGTCTTGTACATGAGGCTGCGCGTGGATCTGTGCGCGAGCAGCGGGCCGCTCTGGTTAAATTCTCCCGACGTCATGACGCGGGCGGCGGCCACCAGCGGCTGGATGCTGCCGCTCTCCTCCGGGACGATGCTGCCGCTGCTGCTCTGCGGCTCCCTGCGGTTCCGAGGCCCGGAGTCTGGGGAGGAGGCGGCGGAGGAGGAGGAGGAGGAGGCGGGGGAGTCCGGGAAGAAGCTCGGTTCTGGTTGGAAGTGTTCGGCCTTCAGACTGTCGCTCCCAGCTTCAGAGATCATTGTATTTGAGCGGTTCCTCCCTTTTTCTGCTCCCCTCTGTCTGTCAGATGGTTTTATAGGAGGACACAAACAGACATGCGCAAACACAGACACGGACTGTGCTGGACTGGATTGCAGCTGCTCCTACATACATCACTGATAGGCTATTAATTAATTTATTAATCCATTTTCCAATAAATAATGAATCTATTAAGCTCACATCTTGACTCATCACTGGTTCTGTTTGAATCTCCTTCCTCAGCTGTTCAGTTTGTTTAAAATATATTTTATTAAAAGGATTTTTAAAAACCTGCCAAGATATGAAACTAAAAACAGAAAATATGAGAATAAATACAAAACATGTCAGCACAATGATTTAAGTTCATCCCCAAACAGAGAAGCTTGTTAGAAAATAAATCAAAACTCTTAAGAAAAAGTCCACCGTATGTTTATTAACGTTAAACATTAACTTATAACATCTGTAGTATTTATGGCAGCATTAAAAGCTGTACAGAGGTGGAACTGAAGGAACAAATGAGGCTTTGATCAGAGAGTTTGTCTTTGTCTTCATATTCACAAGCTTCAGTCATCATACTTATGTTTACATTCACTGCCAAGGCCGGCAATAAGGGGGGCAAAGGGGGACGCTTTCAGGGGCCCAGTCACATGGGGAGGGTCCAGAGGTTAGCAAAAAAAAAAAAAGATGGTCTGTCCTTCCTCGAGCAACAATGATCACATTCTATTTTACACCTAAATACTCACCGTTACCTGTGGGACATAGAAAACACATTTCAGCATCAGCACTCCTACGCGTTGTCAGGAGGTCAAAACGCTTTAATCAGAGGGTTAATGACGCATGAGGAGGTCTAATCACACCTGGGTCATAAAGAGGGTCTGATATCACACCTAGGTCAGGAAGAGAGGTGTTTAAGTTTGCACCTGAGCCTGATCCTGGGCAGACCCTGAGCAGCTCAGAAAACATGTTACTGGATAATAACAAATCGTTCAGTGCTCCCCCCCGGCAGCTGAATGATGTAACTACTGCATATTTCAGTAGAAGTAATGTTTCAATATTATTCAACATTTTCGGACACTTTATAAACCAAAGAGTAGATCTGATCCATCCAGAAAATTACTGAATTAAAGGTCTCATATGATGTATAATACACTTCTCCGTGTTCCTCTAACTCTAATATGTGTCTCTAGTCTGTCTACAAACCCCCCAATGATGAGAAAAGTCCATCCTGTCTTTTGCCTGCTCCACTTTTCAGAAAATGTGTGCTCAAACAGGCCGTTTGGCAATTTTCCCTTCATGACATCACAAAGGGCAGTAGCCCCTCCCCCAGGTGGGTGACACTCCCACAGCTAGGTGTTTGTTCTGCCCTCTGAGTCTGCCTTCTCACCGTAAACAATAGGACATGGAGTGAAAAAGACCGAGACACCCAAGCCCTTCCAGAGAGGGGGCGTGGTCAGACACAGCTTACATTTAAAGGTACAGACACAGAAACAGCCTGTTCTGAGCAGGGCTGAAATAGAGGGGTTTATAGGCATGATCAAATACAGGATCAGAGTGGATTTACAATAAGAAACTTCACACATGTTTTGAGGAGCTCTGAGACTTATTTAAACTGGTTGAAGAGGAGGAGAAGATGTGACCTTTAATAATTATGTTTAATTTCACAGGATTTAGTTTGACAGAAATTCTGCTTGGTTTTCACTCTGAGTTTAAAAGTCTGCCTACCTTCATGTGAGTATATTTATTTATTTATTTTAATGTGAAACAGATTTCATGAGCCGCTCAGTGACTAAAAGACCGACTAATTAAGATCTATACTTTGACTTCACCTGTTTTTAAACAATCTTTTTATTTTAATGCTCGAAAGAATGCAAAAGTGAAGAAGCTTTAAAAAAAAAAAAAAAAAAATACATCTCATTCATAGGACCGGTGTGCAGCATAGGAAAAGATCCCTCTAAACTCTGCACACTGAACAAACTGCAAGAATACAACGCTTTTTATTTGAGCTTTTAGCCTTCGTTTGATTGGACGGTGACTAGAGTAGGAAACCCGAGAGACAGAGAGCGGGAAAGAGAAGCAGGAAAGGAGCCACAAGCCCTTGGAGGACTACAGCCTCCACACACGAGTCGTGACCTACCCGCCAGCCCGCCTGCGCCTTCATAAGCTTCGGACAGAGTGCAGAGTTTACCTGCAGCTTGACCTTTTTAAAAACAGGAAGTGACCCTTTATCTGGTGTGTAGGACTTCTCGTTGCCGTGGTTTCAAACAGGCTTTGAATGTGACATCCTGTCTGCCGGGGCAGAGTGGGTGTGTCAACAGTCGACAGTATGAAGCACAACAAGTCGTCTCTGAGCAGCTTTAATAAACAAACTTTGTGGTTAAAATCTTACATCATGCCGTCATACTGACAGGAAGGAGAGTCTCACACGGACGGTCAGACCCACAGATCAACTCCACGATGTTTATTAGCAATATCTGAACAAAGTTTATAATCTGACTTAAATCTTATATGTCAACACGTACCGCACGGATAGACTCACGAGAATAGAAAATGTTTAGCACGAGCGCACTGACGGGTTCTTTTTTTTAATTTTTTATATTTTATAAGTTCATTATTAACAGCCTGCTTAAAGGCCACGCCACAAAACAGGGGGAGGGAGAAGCTACTGTCCATCACTCGCACAAGACAGTCCATTCTAATGTAGTGTAGTCTAGTATACAGGTGAGGAGGAGGGGGAGGGGCTTAAGGGGGCAGGGCTGCTATAGGTAAATCTCATAGAAATCGTCCAGCTCCTCGTGAAACAAGTCCCACTCGTCCTCTGAGTCCGTCATCTCGTCGTCTGTCCCCGCGGCGAGCAGCATGAGCAGCATCTCGCTCAGCTCGAACGTCACCATCTCCTCGTCCTCGTTGTCGAACGAGTCGGTGCTTTCCCGCTCGTCCAGGATGTCCCACAGAGGAGTTCGCCTCGAGCTCTGGAGGGAGAGGGAAGGATTTAGTTTGTGATGCATGAATTCTGTCTGGAGGAGAAACAGGAACAGTTGGAACAGAAATAATGGTTCTTACAGCGTTAGAATAATGTGAAACCACTCTGAGACTTTAAGGACCGGGACAGGAACGGAACACTTTTCCTGATCATAGGCGTCTGTTAGCATGTCATCATTGCAGCCCTGTTTCCACCAAACGGCCCGGTTTGGTTCAGCACACATTTATTCACCTTTCCACCGTTCTGTTGGGGTGCCAAGCGTTCCCATCCGAACCTAAAGGGCGGAGCTAGACACGATGCTATATTTCTATTTTTGTTGCCGTGGTAATAAACAGGTATCGATATCGTTGATTTTTATTATATCGAAGTTTAAAATCAATCTCCCACCTTTGACAACTCACAAATCCCCCAGAGGTGGTCAGATGCCGTAACACAGAACGCTGCTCAGAATGAGACCCCAGGACAGGCCACGCTGGCGTTACCTCCACGTCTGATGGAGGAGACGGTGGAGCGGGGACTCACAGGGACAGGGGGAACACGTGGGTGAATTTAGTGCGGCGATGAAAGAATGTGTATACGATGGACTTTTAAGCCCGCTGCAACTGGCCGGCAGACGACACGGACGGGCTGAGTCTTTTCCTGTTGCACGAGAGAGTTAGTGAGATATTTTAAAACATGTCGGCTCATATGGATGTGTGTGTGTTTCTGACGCAGAGGAGGCACGTACTAAGAGACAGCAGTCCTCACCATGTGTAACATGACTCCGCCCATTTGTCCAACATCACAACAACAACTGAACCTTTCATTCAAACCAGTTCCCTTTCATGACCTTAGAGCGGTTTCTATTCTGCAGCTCAACGCTTTCTACATCCAGCAGAGGGCGCTGCAGTGCAGGAGGTGATGTCACTGTTGTTCATAGAATTGTAAAAGCAGATTTTTGTGCATTGACGACATGCTGGATGTGAAAACATTTACAAACACAAACTGTGAGCGTCTTTCAGTCACTAATATATTCATAGTGACACCTGCTGGTGCAGTGACAGAGTGTGAGTGAGCTGCAGGTGTGAGCTGTTACCCTGGTTCTGCTGTTGGATCCCGTCTGTCGTCTCTGAGGTTGAGCCTCCTCCAGCCGGCCGTCAGGAAAGGCGTGTTTGTAGAAGCAGTTTGAGCCGAAGGGGCACGTCCCGCGGCCTTCGTCAAAGTATCGACACGATTTAGTCCTGAAGAGGAAACAGAGGACAGACGCAGGACGTCAGACTGGGACAGCTGATCGATGTTGACGTGGTCAAGTCTCTTCACTGGATGTTTATTTTGTTTTTTTAAATTAAAGTGAGTTTCAATCTGCTTTTTTTAATCAGCCCTCTCCTTCTCCCTTCAGTTTACTTCCATCAATGGCCCGCCCACATCATCACATCCACCCACAACAGACGCTCATCTCACAGCAAAAGAAAAGAGTTTTAGAATCGGACACTAAAGTGTTTATTAAAATATTAGCAGAAGGAATCTAAAATAAGACAAATGGATCAAAGTACACAACTAAAAACCTAAAACCTGAGAGAGGAGGGTTACTGGACTGTGTCTCAGATGTAATGTTACCCACATCAGACAGACACCAGCTGATTACAAAAGTGTTAAATGTGTGTGTGTGTCTGTGTGTGTGTGTGTGTGTGTGTGTGTTTGTTTACCCCATGCCGTCCTTGTACTTCTGGATGAGTTTCTGCTTGTCGTCTTTATCTTCCACCCAGTACTCGCTCGGGATCACAAAGTTGGACGTGATTCGACACTCAGGGCAGGACCTGCAGAGTGAAAGAGATGAAACATTTGATTTCAGAACGATGAAAGATGAGTGAACGATCCGGTCAGTAAAAAAAACAACCTGTATGTTAAACTAAACAGAAATCATTTCATGTGAGCAAAAAGACTCAAACAACAATCTACAGCTGCTTTCACTCCTAAACGTGTCTACATAACATCAGGAGGACTGCTCCGTATATTCTCCTGATCTGGTTGTTTACACATGCAGCTCACAGAGGGAGACTATCCCTGTCAGACAGGAGGGGGGGGGCGGAGTCTCCTGAGGTAAGACATAAAAAGAACAATGTGGAAGTGGCTTTCGCAGCAACAGAGTCCTCTATACGACACTATAATGAGAATATGTGTCTTTCTATCAATGCTACGTGTAGTCGAACAGACTCTCAATGTGAACTAAAGAGTGGAGAAGAACATTCTGGAGAACAGGAAACACAATGCAGCAGGTTCATTAGAGCACAGAGGTCGTAGAGGTGGCGTGCAGACCGTCTATGGTCGTGCAGCGATCACAGGGAATAAACGTCACCACCCCCTCCCACTCACTCCAGGTGAATTCTCCTGATTATACCCTGCTGTGTTCTCACATCAGCTCAGTGATTACGTTCAATGTGAATATACGTCCTCCCTTTCACATGAATGCAGTACTATTTCAGTATTTGGACGGAGTCTGGAGATGCATACTCTCTGGTGTCTCAAATCTCTAACCTCACAACAATCATCCATTTATCTGACGTGCACACATCTAAATCAGGAGCTTTAAAAGTATTTAGTCTTAGATGACTTTCTTAAACGAGCAGGAGACCAAACTGATTTTGCCGCCTGGAAGTAAATAAGGAAAGAAGTCACAGGTGTGTTTTGGTTTTTTTCGCTGTGAAGCCTTGAAAACAGATTTGCCCTCTTCAGATCTAAAGGTAAATAACTTCAGCGACTCACTTGATGATTTTGCTTTCGAACTGTTTGGCGCTCCTCCACTTGCGGATGCACTTCAGGCAGTAGCAGTGGCTGCAGTTGGAGAGGATGCCGAAGCGTCGCTCGCTCAGGTTGGCCTTCTCAAAGACCACCTCCATGCACACGCCGCACATCATGTCCTTGCTGCGCTGGATGGCGAACGAGATCTCCATGTCCTTCTCATGGGCCTCGATGCACGCCTGACGGAGGAAACACCGGGTATTAGTCCTCTATCTCCCTCTGCCCATTGTTAAAACTGCACAGAGCATTTAGATCTCAGCTTCTTATTAACTAACCCTAAAAACAGAGATCTAGAACAAAAAGCTGCAAGATGACTATTTGAACTTTTAAACATTAATAACATGCAACACATATAGATTGAGCATTACCTTTGTGTGCTCGGAGCGCTGGGCGTTCTCGGTGGGGTGGAGCACCTGCAGGCCACACATGTCGCACACGTCGCCGTGGAGATAGGCGCAGTTGACGCCGTAGCGACACTCTCCGACGGCGGCGTACGGGCAGAGCTGCTTTTTCAGCTCTTTGTTCTCCTGCGCTGAGTCGCCGTCTAACTCCTCGATGAGAGGGGCGGAGCTTTCAGCCTTCACCGGCTCAGCTAAACACAGACGATACACAGAACACAGAAAGACATCAAAGGTTTAAATTTAAAATGAGAGAGAAACAAAACGCGTCATGCCTTCTTCTGATCTGTGGAACATCGTAAACCTTCCTTTCTGCTCTCAGACAGTTCAGGCTCCACAGGAAGCTTTAGAAACCTCAGATTTCTCAGAAAACACAAATCTGTTGGTGTTCTTATTTACATCACGTTACCTCGTCCGCAGTAGGGCTGTCCTGGGACAAACTCCGCAGCGTTGACCCAGTCTCTGGCCCCCCGACCAGGTGTTGACCCACTGTGTTCTGGATCTGACGAGCCGGCAAGTGAGGCGGAGGGCAGCGGCAGCGTCTGCGAGGTGGGAGGCTCCTCGTTGTTTGTGGGTTTACAGTGTTCAAACCTGAGGAAGAACCCAGGAACCACAGGTTATCTAACGTCCTACAGCAGTGATGAAGGACGGTTAAGAGCTACGAGCAGAAAAACAGGCAGCGTGTCAGTGCTCTGTCCGACATCTTTATCTCAGTTCCACCTGTGTGACGGGTCACCTTGGCACAGCTGCTTATCATGAACTGTTCAGCAGCTAGTATCACGTTAGCATGTAGTCAGCCTGTATGCATGAGCGCTGCACAGTTAGCTTGTCTGACGTGTTTCCTGTCTCCCTGCAAAGACAAAGCTCCGGTGTATGAACTATCTCTGCTTTGATACAGGGAGAAGAACATGACTGGTACTCAGAGGAATACTTTCAGTCGGTTAGAATCTTTTGAGATCTGCTGAATTGTGTTTTTCCCTTTTTGAACAAAGAACTGCAACTTGTTTTTGTGGAGATAAGTGGCAGGAAGTTCAGGAAAAGAGAGCATTGCCACTTCCTGGTTCCACTTCCTGGTTCACAATAAAAGCTACCCAGTGCAGCCTTTCTTTTGCTGTGTGTTTAACCCTTTACTAAAGCCCAAACTCATTCTGCGTTAATATGAACCTTCTGGGTGACACAGGAAAAACTAACTGTTCACAGGATGGCTGATCAGTTCAATTATCATCTTTTCTTCAACCAGAGCTCCTAAATGTTCGCCCTTAGTGAGATTATTACTAAAGATCTTCTTTTTAAGCACTGGCTTAAAGCTATTAATGGAGCAATATGTAACTCTGACACTTACTGTTTAAAATGGGTACTGCAGTCTAAATTCAAAACATTGGAGAAAGATGCAGAGAGCTGGCTAAACACTGAAGCTTCAGTGTCTGGTAAAGTCAACCTGCGTGAGCATGACTCTAGAGAGGAGGGGGCATAGTGCTCCTTTAAAGTTTCTGCAGTTTTAGATACTATCGGTCTCTGAAATAACAGATTCAATCGTCTTTACTTCCTGCCTGCTTCACCTCATTTACACCATCCTGTTCACGGCCGTTTCATTTATGAATTCCTTTGACATAAACGTTGCATATTAACCTTTGAAACTGTCATCAGAGCTTAAGTATTATAAACGGAATCAAACCAACACGACAGCAGCTGCACTTGTATGTTTGTGTAAATGACTGCGTCCTGTTAGAGAGCAGGACGTGGTGTTTACACAGACACAGAGCCCGACCTTCACCGTGTTCACTTTGTGAAGGCCAGTACACGGTTTCTAGTCTGATAAAGACCTGTGACCGGTCTCTGCTGCTCATTTGGTGCCTCTTCTTAAGAGAAATATTTTGGATCTGTCTGTAAATAATAAGCATGTAAGAGGAATGTGAAGTGTAATTTCCCCTGCCGAGCTGTGCAGAGGAGTTGTACAGCCTCAGGGACAGATACAGTATCTCCTGTGGCTGTAAAAAACTCAGTGTCTGAGAGTTGGCAGTATTTTGATCTAGAAGTTATATTTAGGGTGATCATGATTTTCCCGAGTGGAGACAGAGTTGTTTATTCTTCACAGGTGTGTTGGAAGCAAACAGGTGATAGGCTGTAAAGTTACCATGTTGAGACTTGATCAAACTACAGACACCACCTTAGGCCAACCAGTAAAGACTCATCTTTAACCCATTAGTGTAACTGGGGCTGGGATGAGGGACGGTGTGTTGCATCATTTAGACGAGGGGTGTGATACCAGAGACCCTCGCTCTCCACAGCAGAACAAACCGGTACAAAAGGGGAGACTGACTGTAATCCTTCACGGATCCAACCGGTCCGGAGTCCGGGTTATCCAGGTCTGGGCGAGTTGGGCGTGCCCAGCAGACCCGCAAAGGGAAGCGACCAGGAGGATCCTAATCAGATGTCTAAACTACCTCAACCGGCTCCTTTCCATGTGAAGGACTAGCGGCTCTACTCGGAGCTCCTCCCCCTCTCTCTAACGTCCAGACACCCTCCAGACAGAGGAAACTCCTTTCAGACGCTTGTATCCGCCAGGCTTCATGATGACAGAGAACTGACCCTCGACCGTTTGGATAAAAAGCATCACCACTTCTTCATTTGACCCTCAAAGACTCGGGTCATCATTTAGAGTATTCATTCTTGATCTGTCTCCAGGTTCAGACAGCTTTATGCATCTTATAAGGACTTCACTCTGACCTCGAACTTTAACCTCTGATCACCTAAATCTAATTGGTTTATCTGTAAATCTGAGAGGTTACTGTGCAAAAGATTCCCCTCCACGCTTTTCCTGAAATATTCACAATTCACAAGAATGGAACAGAAGAACAACAGCATACAAATATATAAATTCATAACGCACGGCCAGCTTAAGACAGTCGGAGCCTTCTGTCCGTACTCTGCGTTCAGTTTGTCCACATTTCTGCATGTTTTCTGGAAGCTTACAGAAACAGACTAAATGTTGCAATACCACCTGAAGTCATGGGGGCAGTGTGGAGCAGTGTAGCCGACAGTTCATGTCGGACCAGCTAAAGACAATGAAGAAGAACCCCATGGCACAGGGAGAGACGACAACAGAACAGCTGGACGGAGATCAGACGGAGACTGGAGGTCAGCTAGACGCCAAAGATGGAGAAGTGGAGATCTGTGAGAGACTGCGCCCTCTAGTGGCTGCACTTTTAACATCCATCTCAACATGAAGGACATGTTGGAGTATATGGGAAGGGATGGTTACAACCTTTAAAAACATAAGTATCTTATTTCAAACGTAAACGAAGCAGAAATGAGCCTCGTCTGGTTCAGTTTCTAAGTTAGGGGATCTCCAGAGCAGAATCACTGACGGTGGTCTCCTCCTTTTTCTTTTTAAATTAACTAACCAGCTAATCAAAATAAACTGAACACTAATTAAAGCAGTTTAATGTTAAAAATCAGATTTTCTTCAACACGTTTCGGTTTTTCTTGAAGGGCTAAAATATAAACGACAGCTAACTTCAACTCTGCTGGTTTCTTTCTGGTCTTCCAGGCCGCCACTGATCGAAATCCGTTTAGTTATCATTATCGTTATCAAGTTATCATTAAAATAAAAACATCAAAGATCTAGAGAGTGACGTGACATACACGGTGGAGACGGTCAAATGTAAATGCTTTAGACTCTGTGATGATGATAAATAGTGCAGCGATGTTTCTACTGTCGGAGGCTTTAAAGCAACAGAAACAATCAGATCACCATGTTAGAGGATGTTTGATCCCAGTCTTGTATTTCACATCCAGCCCTCACATGACAGATGCTGCAGCCCTGATGATGATATGCAGACACCTTTCACTCAAACGTCCTCACAATAACATGTCAACTCCTCAGATACTATACAGCATGACTAACCGACTATGACAGTCTGAGCACGCAGCCGTACAAAAGGAAGAGCTGCCTGTCAGACATCACTGTTAACCAGTCTGCTCCCAGAGAGCCACTGGGAGAACAGGGAGGGGAGGGGAGGGGTGCTGCTGGAGGAGCGATGCATAAATAAAAGAGAGCGGAGGCTGCTGCAGCAGAATGAACCCGGGGAACCCAGCAACAGCGCAGGAGGAGGAGGAGGGGGGGGGGGGGGGGGGGGGGCTCAGAGAAAGAGAGCAGGAAGGAAACACAATGTTATGCAATTGCCATGCAGGCTGCAGTGCACTGTGTCTGGCTGCAGGAGAGAGAGAGAGGCAGAGAGACACAGACACCGAGTGTGAGAGCGAGACAGAGTCCATACAATAGACAGAGCCTGGGGAACCATAATAAACCCCCACAGGGAGAGCCTTTCTATGCACTCTTAATGCAGAGGTCACACAAATAATGAGGACACCTCCATCTCAACGATGAAGGAATGTGACTTATCAACACAACAACAACAGCAGAGAAACACACTCCTCAGACATCCTGCAGGCAGTAAACACACCGTAACAGAGAAATTATGGAGTGTATGGGGAAGTAGAGCGTCACTGCTGCAGCTGGTGGTCCTCGGAGGGTCTTGGTAACTATGGCGATGCAGCCAGACACGCAGCAGACACTGTCTGTACACACTGCTGCTGCTGCTGCTGTCTGGGTACACTGCAGCCTGACAACAGAGCAGCAGACTAATCCGCTGCTCAAAAGACGAGATTTGCATGTTTGAGCCCGTTTCACGACGAATAAATACTGATGACCACATTGAACGCAGGCTGCAGTGTGTGGGATAATTAAAGCGGACTGACACAGATTTATGTCCTTATTCTTCTATCCATGACAATAGTGTCTGCTTTGACTTTACAACACAAGTCTCTTCAAGTCAGTCTGCTTCACGTATACGCATACGATGAAATGATATTCATTCAGATAGAGAAGATGAATCGGTCCTTTATTTGCAAATCCAGATAAACTGTCAGAGAAACTTACTGCTGTGCAAACAAAATATATGTTTCAAAGATCTTTTAATCGTGTAACTGAATGTGGAAGAGGAGAACTCAAAGCCGACCCCATGTTCCAGTGTGATCTTAGAATAAGTATGTCGATGTCTTCAATCATATTTTATGACTAAACATTAACAAGTTTAAGACAACGGGGAACAGACGTAAACAAAACCAGGTGAAAACTTTAAAGCACTTTGAGAGCCTTCAAACGGTCCACCCTGAGTAACAGAGCTCAAACAAACTGGGAACAGGTGGATTTTAAACACAATCCTTCAAAAACAACAACAAAAACAATATTAAAGATTAACTAGGATATATATGCAGCCTGGCACTTAACTCCTTTCAGATAAAAAATGCATTTAGAGTCAGAATTTGATCAAACAACAACTCTGGCCAGGAGAATTTCTCCATGTTCAAACGGTCATGTGACATTTCCTTCCCATCAAACTGCTAACATCCAGCAGAGCTGCGATGCTTCAGCTGTACGTGGAGCGGCCCGAGCTCAGACACACACCGACAACATGTTGACACGGGGAGCGGCGGTCTCAGGTGTCAGGTCCCCTCCAGGAGCTCTAATGCTTCTCAGAAGCCGAGACACTTTTAGAAAAGAAGTTATAATAAAGCTCGACCGACAACTGGGAGCTTTTTTTTTTTAGGACGAGGCAGCTGAGCGTGAACACGATTACAAAACAGCCAAATCTGTTTATACTCGAGTTCGTCCACCTTCGAATTATTTGAATTGAAAGACTCAGGTTGGAGCGGGTTCTTTACCTGCATCGGTCTCCGAACACACAGTTTCCCTTCTGAAAGAACTTGCACATCATCGCTGCAGGTTTGCTGCTGGTCAGATCATGGGAGTATCGACAGTTTTCTCCTTCTGTGCAAAGACCATGCATGAAATATCTGGAAATAAAAACACAAGGACGAAGGTCGACTGTCAGTAACCAGAACTTAAAAGTCTGTTTCAAAAGATGTCAACTTTATTTTGTACGGACGGGTTGTCGCAAAAACTGAATTTCAAACTTCAATAAGCTTTGAATAAAAGATCAATCAACGTCAATACCCGTTTCACAGGTGAGCAGTTTGATATGTGTATTAAACGTTGCCATTGAATTTGTGCAATTTAGACAATGGGCAGCAATTTGCTTTTAAGGTTCCTGACGTGCAAAGGTGAACCATGCAGCTTGGTCACTTTATGATGCTTTCAATCATTAAAATAAAAGAGACTGAATCGTTCAAAACAACCTTAAAGCTTCATTAGTCCCTGATTTAGTCACTGAGCGGCTCATTAAATCAGATTCACGTTTAAATATTAAAAATATAAACTCAACAGAAGGTCGACACACTCACACTAAATCCTTTCAAAAAGAAATGTAATGAATAATCAGACGTCTGTGAAAACTCTACATGTCGATTACAAGTTTGTTTATTTGTAAAAATCTGCTAATTCTGATCCAAATAACTTTGTTAGAGATTCAGTTCACTGACAGAGAAAATAATCCAGAAAATATCGACGTGTAAAGTGTCCATCTATCTTTTAAATACCTGAAAACTTCGTTTAAGAATACAAGGCACTGAAAAGTATCGAACATGATGATGACGACCTCGTTAGTAGGTTATTCATGAAACAACAAATAAAAAACCTGAATCTAAAAACAACAACACGTCCTTGAAAAATCACTATTCACGAGGAGACACGAAAATATGAAATTAAAGCAGAAACATGAGAAACCTTCAGCCAGAAAATAAAACATAAATACACGAAAAACAGCAGTCAGTTAAACACACATTCATGACAACAACAAAGTAAAACACACAAAGCACGACCATGCTTCATAAACACAGAGAACAAACTGTTCCCACCTGTTAGTGTGTTGTTGTTTTTTACCTTTGTTAGTGTGTTTTTTGTTATATGTTCTTGTTTCCCCTTTAATCTGATAATCCCCAAACGCTTTACAAACATCGTCATTATTGTTATTATTATTATTATTATATCATCATGTGAATAAATTAGAAACAGATTAAGACTGAAAAAGCTTCCTCATGTAAACTTCGTGTTTCACTTTCATATTTTCAACACATGAAGCTAATCTTAGCACAGCAACACAAACAATCATCTAATAATGATTATTATAACATTTCAACTCGGTGGTTTCACGTTTTTAACAAACAGTGATAGTTATTAAAGTTAACCTTTACACAGGGTGGTGATCGACACCCTCGTATGGGAGTTAACCGATGACAACATTAAAGCTACCAAACTGGCTGCTAACCTCACTGTGAGCTGTGGGAACATAACAACACAGCCTGGAGACATGTAAGCTAACAGCTAGCTGGCTAACAGCTGACCGAGCCTCGGAAGACGCTGCTGTCAGTCGGTCGTTGGCCACCGGAACTCCGCTGCTTTTGTTCAAAAACCACCGACGGTGAAATAATCCTCGACATTTAAGCCCCCGGTCGTCTTGTCTTACCGGCAGGTTACGTTTTTGGTCCAACCTCCTGTTACTGCTGGAGTCGCCGTAGACGCTACTGCTGCCTCCGCCATAGCTGTTTATGTTGAGAAACCACAGCCGGACCTTCCGGACAGCTCCGGAACGCCTCGGCTTCTTCCGTATAAGTACGATTCATGGCGGAGTTTGCCGAAGACGTGACGCGGGATAACGCCGCTACGGGGCACCACTGTCACTCTCTGAATCACTTATCATCACAAAATGATAAAAACACCAAAATAAACTCGAAGCTATGTTCAGCTGTCAGCGCAGTTTACCTGAAATAACAGTTAAAACAGCCAACAATAATATACATTTTTAAATTTGAGCTAATGCTTTGATAAACAGATCAAATAGGCCTAGTTAGCTTAATAAATATAACAATTAAATAATAAAGTAAGGTTTAAAAAATAGAAGTTGGCTAGAGTATAAACTTTGCTAAACTAACCTTTTTTGTTAACTATTTCAATGAATTAAATGTTGAATGGGTAACTGGTTGAATGTGTAAAATAGGCTTTAACTTTTGAGCCTGAATAGCCTACTTAACTTAGATGATGGGTAGCCATGCTGTTTAAATTGTGATTAAGATTATGAATAAACAGTTGTAAGACCTAAATAAATAAATAAACCTTTAATAAACAGTTAAAGTGATGAGCTGCAGTAGACAGAAAATTGATAATAGTTAGCTAACTTAGGCTAACTAAGGGTTGAAATTGTTGGCTTAAGGTGGCTAATTACTTAATATAGTTATCGAAAGTGAGCTAATAACTAGACTAATTCAAACAGGAGGCCAAAGTAATGGACACACAGTTAAAACAGTTAGCTAAACCTTCGACTAAATCCATCCCTCTTTTGCTAACTTTTAGTTGTTTAAAATCATTTGAAATCATTTGTCAGCATAGGCTAACGGATAACAAGCTGAAATAGGAAGGACATGTTCCAAATGGTTGGAAAATTAACTAAAGTAAGGTAATAGATAGTATGACTACATTTGTTAATTTTTAGTTTACATGATGATTAATCTTTAAGAATGGTCAACTTAAGAAATAGTTTAAGCTAACAAATGAAATTGCTAGCTTATGTATGCCTATACATATATATGTATGCATATATAGGGATAATGTAGGCTTGGGATGTTTGCTCAGGTTGTATTCGACATCACACCATATTGGACTCAATTCAATACATTTAAAGACACGTGTGAGAAGTCAGCCAGATAGCGTACATTTTAAACACTAGATGTCAAGGTAACATATTGCTCCTTTAAGTGCAAAAACAAACTTTTCAGAGATTTAAAAATTGCTGTGATGTTGAATCAGACCTCTTTAGAAAAGTTTCAACTCAGTTAACATTCAAGCTTTCATATCGGTTTTAGTACATTACTTCTAGACTTTGCTACATGGTGCAATCTAAATAAATGTTTCATTAAAAATCCAGTGTTAACATTTCCAGTGCGACATTATGTTGCTTGGATCCCAGGAGTCAATATGTGTCAAACATCCAGCCGCCCATACAGAGCAGGACTAATAAGTGAAAGCCGAGCAAACAGAGCTGCTGCAGGTCGTCTTTACATCCATCGCAGTCTTTGTCTCTCCTCCTGCAGGTTTCAATGGGGCTGTCATTTTATCACAGCCAGTGTTTTGGTGCACGACACCACAACACTGTCCTTCATATTGTTCAGACTCTCATCACCTGAGCTGACATCCTGTGGTCTCCATGGCGACGGCACATCAGTTATATTAGTGCACATGGTAAACACTGGGTACCTCTTTAATCAGGAGTGCTCAGAGGAGAATATGAGAGTGTGTGTGATCACACGGAGAGCTGCCCGAAAGACAAAGCTCAGGAGAGTTACAGCGCCATCACACGGTTGAAACAAAGAGATCTCAATTTCTTCCCTAACCAGCAGATCATCCAATAGGCTTGAAGCATTTTAGCATCCTGCATCAGTATGGACTCACACTACCTATATATTTGATATATTTTCTCTCGTGTTATCATTTATTGTCTGTATGTCGCTGTGCATATTTGTCTTCATGAACATGCAACTCCAAACTGCTGCAGGGATTCATATAGTTGTTGCATTGAAGCACAGAGGGGAACACAGGACACAAAGTGGATAAGAGGAATACATTGTTAAAGGGTCATTAAGCATCTCCATCAGTGTGTTAATTTATGTGCATATGAGAAAGAACAAAAGTTCTTTGTATTCTACTTTTTAGAGCTGTTTGCAGAAAATAAAGAATATCAGAATGTTATTCAAGTTAAAGTAAAGCTTGAATTTAAGGATAAACCACTCAAGTAAAGGTTACAGTGAATAAACCATACTTGTGCAAAATTTGCGTTGAGAAATGTGAGAAAACGAATCTGCACTTTAAGAAGAAACATCACATAACTCAGCTCGTATGTCCAAACTAACAATTCATTCAAGATGTCTGGATATCACAATGCCTCACAATACAATTGTGAGCCCCCCCCCCCCACACACACACACACACACACACACACACACACACACACACACACACACACACACACACACACACTCTAGAGTCGTTCAGGAATCAGTCACATCAGGTCACTGAACGAGTCGGTGCAGGTCACTGTAAGCAGGGCGTGTCAGCGGCGTGCTGATTGATGAACAGGATATATATATAATGTATGTCATCTCACAGCTGAGAACTTCATCTTTAATGTGACTGAGAGAAGAAAATGGATGTCTGTGTCCTGCTGATAAAATGTTCTGTTATCTTCCACATTACTCTCCTGCGGACTCCACCTGCAGAGTCAGGTGTGAGACTGAGAGCAGGGTGGAGAGAACAGGCTGACATTAGCAGCACCCTTCACCCTGCTGCTCTGCCTGCAGGCACTGAGATACAGACGTCCGCCCCGCCTGAAGACGCAGAGGAGGGAAACACACAGAGGTCAGATGTGAGACCCGTGCATGGAGACTCCAGGAAGAGAAAGAAGAACAGAAGGATCAGAGGGAGACCTTTTGGACAGTTTAACACAGACACAGTGAGTATGTTTTTTTTATGTTTAATGCTCTAAAGCAGTGGTTCTCAACTGGTGGGTCTGTACCCAAAAGCGGGTCATGGAGCCGGTTTCAGTGGGTCACCAATATGTGCCAGCGAAAAAATAATGTCAAAAAGAGTGTGAAGCACCTTGATGTTTATTTTGTTCAGTCAAATGGTTTTATACCATCTTACATTCAAACTGAACAATTTTTCATTTAATGAATCTGATTGGTGGAACATTTTCAGCTATTTGGGACGTGATTTAGGCGATTAAGGAGCTGGTGGAGATCGTGAGACTAGCCGAAATCGAAACAACTGTGTCTGTAAACGTCCATGTCATCAGCACCTTTATGATATACTTAGAAAGTGATCTGTTCTTTAGTGTTGAGATAAGGTCCTTAACAAACAAAAACATCATGAGTTATGATCTATTCAAATCACACAAAATGTGCAGAAATATCTGATCGATCCTCTATCTATTTTTGAGATTTCTACATAGCAATCATCATTTGGCCAATTACAAGCCTCCATTCCCTGTTCCCAGCCTCTATCAGCCAATGAGCCCCGTCTCTTATTAGGCCGGATTAATAGGATTCACAGTCACTGTGTTTGTTTACCAGAAATCTCCAACAGCATAGATTACATGGCGCTGTGAAGAAACAAATGAAATTGCTCAATCTGTATTTGAGACATTATTATCGACTCAAATTTTCCCTTTTCAGTTCGGCTGCAGTGGGATCGAACGGCGGAGCTGCAGCTCGTCCTCACACTGCTCTGGATGTTTGGGACTGTTCACCTGTGACCGGATCCTGAGCAGCTGTCAGCTGAAGGCCGTGTCAGGACAGACAGGTACACGTCTCTGAGCACACTTCATCAACTCCATCACATTTCTCAAAGGGATGGAAAAAAAAACATGGCTGTCCACTGTTCCTGAATCAGGAATAAATCATGGTAATTTAGGCGTACTGCGGACCTCGCATTAGTTGATATATTGCATTTTGGACCAATCAATATACGAACTACTAGTTTAGATGGAGGTTTTTCAAACAGCCAAAGTCTGTACCTTTAAATGTAAATGAGCTGTGTCTGACCACGCCCCCTCTTTGAAAGGGCTTGGGTGTCTCGGTCTTTCTCGCACCATGTCCTATTGTTTCAGTGAGAAGGCAGACTCAGAGGGCAGAACAAACACCTAGCTGTGGGAGTGTCACCCACCTGGGGGAGGGGTTACTGCCCTTTGTGATGTCATGAAGGGAAAATCTCCAAACGGCCTGTTTCAGCACACATTTTCTGAAAAGTGGAGCAGGCAAAAGACAGAGAGGATGGACTTTTCTCATCATTGGGGGGTTTGTAGACAGACTAGAGACACATATTAGAGTTAGAGAAACATGGTGAAGTGGATTTATTATCATCTGGGACCTTTAAAGTTTCTAATATTCATTTTTGTGTTTTTTCAGATACATTCCTGCAGACTCTGAGTGAAGTGTGATCATTGCCTGCACTTCAAACAAATGCCCCATGTGTTGTCTGCCAGTTTAAACTCTGAAGAACAGACGTGAACATTTTCACGACTTTACATCAGAAACAATCATTTCATCTGATCGCCTCTTTGGACACTTGTTTTGTATAAAGGTTGTTTTTGCTATTTTTTGCATTTTTAATATCACTTATTTATTGACATGGTGACATTTATCTTCAACACTTTGATGAGTGAGACCGGTTATAACATGACAGTGATAAATATAAAGGTTTATAAATATAAATATTGAAACTTTAAAGATGACAGGAAACAATCATCATGTGTTTAAATGCTCTAATAAGGAAAATGTCTCCACCTAGTGTTCAGACTAACACACAGCAGTCAGAGAGACTGGACTACAAAAATGTTTTTAAATTTAATGTAATGATAAATTAAACATTTTAGCCTTTATATCAGAGAATCAAAGAATAAAATGGTTCATTTGTACTTTTTTAACTGCTTACTGAAATAAAAACACCTCGGCAATATTTAAAAAAGATTAAGCTTCTATGTTGGTATCACCTTCCTGCTTGTTTAGCATCTCTCCCGTTTTTCCCCTTTTTATG